ACATGTGGGGTGGGACAGCGCATTGGGGTGAAACCGTCTGAGGGGCGAGAGGTGGATGAAGCCTTGCTCATTTGCAGCAGGTAAGAGCCAGCTGAAGCAGAGGCAAACAGAGCTGCCGCCCAGCCTGTGAAAGTGGCACGTTCATGTGGGCTCTGTGCAACCGACGGCAAGGTCTTGAGGTGACTCAAGGCCTGAAAAGCAGTGGGGGCACCTGGAGCCACAGGCTTGAGCCTGGGATGGAGCTCATGAAGGAGCATCATGGGCTGGAGGAGTAGCACTGGCACGAGGGCTCACCCCAGCTCCTGAAAGGCAAAAGCAAAGAGCTGGAGTCTGTTGTTTCCATGCTGCAGGCTGGGGTGCAAGAGGAAAGGGAGAGCAAAATCCCCCAGGCAAGTGAGGGGCTACCAGAGCCAGGCATGGGGCCATGCCCTGCACCCAGGGGTGGCATCAGGGGATCCCCATATGCACAGCATTGACCCCCACAGACACCACCCATGTTCTTCTGGAGCAGTAATCCCAGTTGCACTAATGGGCATTTGCCTACTGCAGTTTTTGTAGTTAGGGAAGCAGCACAAGTAGCCCCTGGAAATTCAAATGTTCCCATCAGGATCAAAATGGGCTCTTCTTTCTCTCTTCTTATGGTGGATATCTTTTCTGGTTCTTTCTTTCTTTTCTGGGGGATGTCTTTTGGAAGCCATGCTCAGGGACCGCAGACGTGTACATAATGTATCTATGTCACAATTATGTCAAGGCTCCATGAATATAAAGCTTGCACAGCTGTAAGAACACTTACACGCTCTTCACATCTCATGCAATTGCATAGAAGCACGCAAAGAAGGTTAAGTTTAAGGAAAAAAGGGATATGGATTAAATTCATGCTAAATAAACAATGAAAAGACATGAAACCCAATGCCTGAATGCTCTTCCTTTTAAAGGCAGGGTTGGCATAAGCCAGCTGAATGTCAGATTTAACTGCTCTGATTCTAATTACAACCATACCTTTGTTCCAATATGCCCTTTGGAATATCACTTTTCTCTGAAAGAGCTCGAACAACAGCGAACTCCCCCGTGCACGAGGCACCGCTGGAGCATTACTGTGTCCATGTGGAATGCATCGAGCCGCGGCGCTTTCCAAACACGGGGCTCTGCTCCAGGCTCTGGTGTTCCTGGAACAAGCTCCTGATTTTCATCTCCAAGACCTTCAGCCACAAAAACGTCTTGATAAGGAAATGGATGACATTGAACTGGGAGTGAAGCTGGAATCGGAGCGGTATCGGGAGCTCTTCAATCCAGCAAAGTGCTTCTGTGGTGGAAATAAGCAGCCAAAATCATTTTTTTTTCTTGGTCTGGACCAGATCAAATGCTGCAGAAAAATCAAAGGGAGTTTTAGTGAGTGGAATCAGGACCGGTTGCTCTGCTTCTAATGGCCAGGTTGGCAAAGAGTCATCGTGCTTCTGTAGCTACCGTGGTCTCCAGTAGTCAAGGACAAGGTTTGTAGGGAAAGATTATGTATTTTTTAACTGACCAATAAAGCTGAAAAATATCCTGGCAAACTTTTAGGTGTCTAAGCCCTCCTTCAGGACAGGAAAGGAACTCATAACCTTGCTCACAGTTGCTTTGAGCTTGACTTGGTTGTGTTGGTAAATCAGGTGGTTTCAGCAAAAAGCTGGTTGAGACTGGAGCAGATGGAATCACTGGCCAGGAGAGAGGTAATTCTGTCAATAATCCCAAACTACTTCAGTTGCAGCTACTTTTATCATCATGGATGTGTCCTATTTTGCCAGCTGCATCTCCAGATGGGAACGGCCCTTGTGAACTGTTTTGCATATGAGAGCTGTGCTGGGTCTCTCCTGCATCCCTTTGCTGCAGGAGGTTCTGGAGCCAGTGCCAGCCATCCCTGCAGATCTATCTCCACACCAGCCCTGTAGTTCAGAGGCAGCTTCGTGTTTGGGTTTCCATTCAATATTCCTCGGCTTCGGTCTCCAAGACTACAAGCCAACATCCAACCCCTCCTCCCACTCCTGGTTTCAAAGAAAGAAAAACACTGTGAAAAGGAGCTACCCAATTTCTGGGCAGTTTTCAAAGCAGAAGGAAAGGCTCTGCTCCGGCCAGGCCTCCTGATGGCTCCCGGCTGGGCTCAGCTGCGGTTCTCCGGGTGCTCAATCCTTGTGCCAGCTGGAAAGCACCTTCCCCACTTTTGCAAGTGTGAAGAAGCAATGAAAAGCTTCAAAGGATAAAATCAGGGTGTCGGAGTAGTTAAAAACCTCAGGGGCTTCATTCAAATCCTTTTGCAAATGGTAGTTTTGGTTGGAAATATAGTAATAGCAGGGAAGGAGTCAGGGAGCTTGTGCTGGAGGATCACCAGCGCCTGGCTTTGCACCATCGCTTGGGGTCTCATTATTTCTGATCATTTGCTTACAGGATATTCTGCTTCCAACAACGGGATTTAACCAGGGGCTTCCCTGCTTCTGTGGCATGGAGAACAGGTCAGCAGCATCTTCTGACAGCTCTGCATGATGGGCACCGAGGCCTCTTCAGCTGGGGATGTGAGAGCAGCATGGAGATGTTCAGGTCAGCATGGGCCCAGGTGGGTGCTCCGTCCCCAGCACCGCGTGTCAGGCATTGTCCCACCGAGGTCTCTGGATCCCACTGGTGCAAAGCCAGTCACTCAGCTGTGTTCTACCACTGCTACCGCACCAGCGTCTGTCAGGGGCCATGGGCCTTCACATGGTGCCAAAGAAAATGGGTTTCCAGCAGCTTCCCTGACTTCACAAAGGTGTGTGGGAAAAGCTGGGTGTGCAGAGGGAAGGAGGAGAAAGAGGATGAGGAAGAGGAGGAGCACAGCAGTATCCAGTAGCTCATGGCAGTGGGAGCTGAGGCTAGGCTTGATGGGGATGGCATGGCAGGAACACCCACAAAGAAACCAGAGTTAAATGATTGTGTAGCTTCATTCGTGTTAGGAAAGAGAGGATGCATCTCACATTCCTGGTGGTTCTTTCTTTCTGTTTGGAACTTCAGTTCTGGGCTCTTTCCATTGGCAGGTGCCATGTTTGGGGTGCCCTCTCCATGCCAGAGGGATGTTGGTGAGGTTATAACCCTGCTTACATGTGGTGAACTCAATCCAGTGTTTGATTTACATGGCACAACATCTGCGTTCCCATGGCAAACCACCAAGATGCTGCAAACACCAACCCATGGTGGTGGGGAGGAGAGTGTAGGAACATCCCCGTGTGCGGCTTCACCAGCACCATGCGGGGATGGGATGGGGCAAGCCAGCACCACTGGCTGCAGGCAAGTGAGTGGTGGTGTTTGTCCAAGGGGAGAGGGATGGTGCAAGAGCTATTTTAATCTGCGGTGACTCACGGCGAGCACATCGTGACTCACCACAGAGTTTGGTGGTTTGGCTGGTTTGGAGATGTGTCAGGTTCCCCGTGCAGGAGGAGGACGGTGTTGAACACCAGGGAATGAGCTGCCATTTCTTTCAGCTGCCTAAACATGGGCTCAGCTATAGGGTGTAGCCACAGCATGGCATTGCTTGGCACAGCACGGCATGGCTTAGCACGGCATGGCATGGCATGGCATGTCAAGCCCCCACCCACCACCCCCCTCATGTTTCACTGGGCTTTGCCTCACTCACACAGGGCTACAAAGCCAAGAGAACAGCCTGAGGGCACCCATCACTGGGGGAACCCAAAGCATCACGGGTGCAGCATCGCCTGCACGCTGCCAAGAGCCAGTCCCGGTGTGAGGAGCGCTCAGACACTGATGTTTTATGGGGCAGTTTGACAAAAACAAATCATTCCTAAGGCGTTTCAAGGGGGTTCAGCCCTCACTCGCAGAGCTGCTCACTTGCAGGACAGGCTCTTTTGCAGGTGCTCTGGTCCTCTGTGCAGGGAGCCCACCCCATGCTGCCACACAGAGCTCATCCCTTACAGGCAATAAAACCTGCGTTGACTCCGCTTGGGCTTGGCCCAGACCCTGCACCAGGAATCAGCTTCTCTGCTGCCTGAGCAGGCCTGGAAGCGTTTCTTTTTCGGCAGCACTTTCCAACAAACTGCAAATCCGTAAGATTCCTTCTTGGCACGGACCGGAGCATTTTTTCAGTGATTGATTTTCTCTGTTGCGATTCAGAGAAAGGCTCCCCCCGTTTCTAGGAATCCCGGCGAGCACAGGTTGTTCCCTCACGCAGGACAATGCTCCCTCCGCAGGCAGCGCACCCCTGCCCACACCCCATCCAGGGGGCCCCAGCGGTGCCCTCCCTGGCTGCAGCTCCTAATCCAAGAAAGGACACACACACACACACAGAGTCAGGGGGGTCCCTTGTGTGTGTCACAGGGTGAGGGTGCCCTCTTCAAGGACTCTGCGTGCATGGCTGGCCCTGGGTGCCCTCAGAAACCCCCAGGTGCCCCAGGGATCCCCAGAAGGCATGCGGGGTGATGGTGCATGTGGGGATGTGGGGTGCCTCGGTGGGGCTTTGGGTGTGACGGTACCAATGTGGGGCAGTGGCAGGTACCCCAATGGGGGCGAATGCACAGTTACCCCAGTGGGGGCAGCAGCAGGTACCCCAATGGGGGTGGGTGCAGGTACCCCAATGGGGGGTGCAGGTACCCCTGGGGGGCAGCAGCTGGTAACCCAATGGGGTCGGATGCAGGTACCCCATGGGGGGGCGCCGCAGCAGGTACCCCAATGGGGGGGTGCAGGTACCCCAGGGGGGCAGCAGCAGGTACCCCAATGCGGGGTGCAGGTACCCCAATGGGGGCGGATGCAGGTACCCCAATAGGGGGTGCAGGTACCCCAGTGGGGGCAGCAGCAGGTACCCCAATGGGGTCGGATGCAGGTACCCCAATGGGGGGTGCAGGTACCCCAGTCCTTGCGCGTTCCCCGCTCTCGCACCGGGGGCTCCGCGCCGTGCCCGTCCGATGCTCTCGGGGCGGCGGGAGGCGGCGGGGGCGGCCCCGCGCTAATTGCATAAGCGGGACGTCAATGGGGGAAGCGCGGGAAGATGGCGCCCCCGCCGCGCGCCGCCGCTCCCCGCCGCGGGCCCCGGGCGGGCGGGCGCTGACCCGGCGCGGGCGGCGGTAACGGCGGCGGAGCGGGCAGCGCTGAGGGCAGCGCTCAGGGCACGGGTAAGGGCAGCGCTGCGGGGGCACGGGCCCGGCAGCGCGGGGGCGGCGGGGCCGGGCGGGACGGACGGAGGGATGGATGGATGGATGGATGGATGGATGGATGGATGGACGGGCGGACGGCGCCGCAGCGCCTTTGAATGAGCCAATGGCGGCGGGGCCCGGGGCTGCCCCCGGCGCTGCCGCCCGGCAGGTGCCGCCGGACCCGCCGCTCTCCCGCTCACCCGCGGGGACAAGGGGCCGGCTCTGAGCCCCCCCCCTCGGCTGCCTCTTCCCGGTGGGTCCCGCTGCCCGGCGCGGCGGCGGCGGGGGAGCTCCCCCGTGTGTGCGCGGGGCCGGGATTGGGGCGGGGGAACGGCGGGAGCTGAGCCCCCGGCACCGGGCGCGCTCCGCGGGTCTGGGGGGGCCGCGGAGCTGCCGCCGGTTTGTAACGGCGAGGAGCCGCGCTGCCGGTGCCATGCCGCAGCTCGCTGCCGCCGCCGCTCCCGCCAGCCCTGTCCCGCCGCTTCACCGAGTTGGCGTCGAGCACGGCGTGGCGAGTGAGGCTCCGTGCTGTGATCCGCGGCGCGGGGCCACGCGTGCGACGGGAGCGCGGAGAGGAGCAAAGTAACTTTTAAGCCGTTTTACTGCTGTCTGTCGGGGATTTACTGGTGTCTGGTGGGGATTTAGGGGTGTCTCTTAGGGCTTTGCTGGTGGCTGGTGGGGATTTGGCGGTGTCTGTCGGGGATCGCAGCTGCAGGGACGGTGCTGCCGGCTGGAGACGGCTTCTGTGCCTTCCACACTTCAAACCCTTCCGTAGCGAAACTCGGCTGCTCGCCTGCACTCGCTGTGTGTGGTGCTGCTGCTTCCCTGCGCATGCAGTGTGCCTAGCACTTCTGAGCCTGTGGAACTGCTGGGAAAGCATGACTTAAAAATCACATTACATTTAAAGCCATTATTCCTCATGTGCCCCTGCCCAGGGCTGAGCTGGTGCAGGCCTGTGGCATGTCCCTGTGTCACACAGAGTGGCTCTGTGCTGCAGGAGCTAAGGTGCTCAGGGGGTTAACTCGTTCAATATTAGCGGAGATTTTAGCTGCTCCCTTTGATTTCACATGAATTAACCCGTCTCATCAGCACTTATTTTGTGGGTCCTGAGCCCCACTGGTTGGGCTGAGCCAGCCCCAGCTCAATGCTCCTGGTAAAACTCTCCATCACACCCTGCCTGGGGATGGGTGCCTGGTACCACAGTGCAAGGGCCAGGTGATGACCCTGTGCATCCTCTCCAGGCTCTGCTGATGGAGACCGCCAAGCTCAACCCCATCATCCGGGATGTCTATGCTGCTGCTGGCCGTGTCCAGCAAGCACCGGCTGTGGCACGGAGGGCCAGTGGCTGCAGAGAGCTCATGGTCAAGCTGACGGAGGGGCAGTACGTGCTGTGCCGCTGGACCGATGGGCTCTATTACCTTGGGAAGATCAAAAGGGTAACGTGGGCACCCAGAAAGGGTAACATGGGCACCCCAAGTGTAGGTAGCACCACTGCGGGGTCACCTTATGGCTCAGAGGGTTGCTAGCCTGGGCTGCAGCATATCCCGTGGTCACTGGGGCACTTGGGGTTGATGTCCTGCCATTGGGTGTCATACCCAGAACCCAACTTCCCACAGCTCCGGGAGTCAGGGCCGGTCACCAGGGAAGATGGGGAAGCACTGGGAATGGGAGCTGATTCTTGACAGTTCCTTGCGCTCTCTCCCTGCAGGTGAGTGGCTCCAAGCAAAGCTGCCTTGTCACGTTTGAGGACAACTCCAAGTACTGGGTCCTCTGGAAGGACATCCAGCATGGTGAGTGCTTCCCTGTCTTCCCTTCCCACTGTTGGGTCGGTGAGTCATTCCCAGCGCCACAGAGATGGGGCTGTGCCTTGCACATCCCCAACTCTGCCGTCTCTGTCCTGCAGCCGGTGTTCCCGGAGAGGAGCCCAAGTGCAACATCTGCCTGGGCCAGACGTCGGGGCCCATGAATGAGATCCTCATCTGCGGGAAGTGCGGCCTGGGTGAGTGTGGACCTGTCCCTCCTGATCTGCTGTGTCCCCCCACGGGGTGAGGGGCCAGCCAGCCCAGCAGGGCTCATGCGGAGCCTTCCCACAGGTTATCACCAGCAGTGCCATGTCCCGGTGGCGAGTGGCGGCGAGAGCCCGCTGGGGACGCCGTGGTTCTGCCGCCGCTGCATATTTGCCCTGGCTGTGAGGGTGAGTGGGGCTGCCCGGGGATCCCACCTCCTTGCGCTGCCCACCCCTGGTGCAGGATGCGGCCCTCAAGGGGCTGTGCTGACCCTTACCCTGCTCACCTCTGCAGAAAGGGGGTGCCTTGAAGAAGGGGGCCATTGCCAAGACGCTGCAAGCTGTCAAGATGGTGCTGTCCTACAACCCCGACCTGCTCGAGTGGGACTCCCCACACCGGACCAACCAGCAGCAGTGCTACTGCTACTGCGGCGGCCCCGGCGAGTAAGCCCCTGCCTGCTGGGAGGGTGATTGTGTCTGGTTTGGTGGGGAAGGGCATGCACAGATGAACGTGAGATCAGGGTCGGGATTTTATCCCTTCTGGGAGAGAAGTCCCAGCTTGCAGGGCACTGTCCTGGCTTTGCCATCCGCATCTCCGCTCATTTGGGAGGCTCTGTTTGCACCCACCTCTGTGGCTGCATTAAATACAAGTTGGGGACAGACTTTCTTTCCCTGGTTGGGGTCTCTGTGCTTGGGAGGGGGCCAGGGCAGTGGCTGCCACACGCTGCCCTCACTGTCACCCACCTCCTCTCCCTCCCCAGGTGGTACCTGAAGATGCTGCAGTGCTACCGCTGCCGGCAGTGGTTCCATGAAGCCTGCACCCAGTGCCTCAACGACCCCATGATGTTTGGGGACCGGTACGTCCCTTCCAGATTCAGCTGGGCTGGTGCTGGGTGTCAGAACTGGCTTCCCAGGAGGGCTCATGCGTGACACATCCCCAATCCATGTCTCTCTGATCCAACTGCCCTGGTGCAAGCGGGTGGCCCCATCCTGCAGAGCTCAGCTCCTCCTGGCCATGCTGTCACTGTTAGCAACTAGAGCACTCTTCCTCACAGCAGCTTCCCATGGCTGTGGGGTGACCCCCACCCCAGCACTCTCCCTCCCTGCTGTTTTCCAGGTTCTATGTGTTTTTCTGCTCCGTGTGCAACCAGGGACCTGAATACATCAAGCGCCTGCCCCTGAGATGGTAAGAAATAGCCCCAGCTGCTTTGTACCTTCAAGTGTACCTTGATGGTCTGAAAGCACTTGTAAAATGTATTAACAGTGCTGGCAGCCCAGCTCCTCCCTGCTGCTCCTCTTGTGCTTGGCCATGTTACTGGTGCTGCTGGGCTGCTGGGCATGTTTTGGGTTGAAAGGACCTTAAAGCTCCTCCAGCTCCAACCCCTTTTATGGACAGGGACCCCTTCCACTGGAGCAGCTTGCTCGAAGCCCGTGTCCAACCTGGCCTTGAACACTGCCAGGGATGGGGTAGCCACAGCTTTCAGAGCTTGCTGCCTAGCTACAATTCACATGAATCAGATGTACTGTGCCTAACTGCAGCAAGAGCACATGGCTGAGGCTTGTTAAAAAGCTGGAAAACTGGGCTGGAGCCATCCTGCTGGGGAGAGGGTGGGCTGCTCACCCTCCCAACCCCGTTGCTCCTGCAGGGTGGACGTCGTCCATCTTGCCCTCTACAACCTGGGTGTCCAGAGCAAGAAGAAATACTTTGACTTCGAGGAGATCTTGGCCTTCGTGAACCACCACTGGGACCCGCTGCAGCTCGGGAAGGTAAAATTGTGCAGCTTGGGATGGGGCTGGAGAGCAGCCTTTGCATCACAGCCCTGCCTGACCGCTGCCATCTCCCACAGCTGACGGGTACCCCCATCTCCGAGCGTGGCCCCCACCTCCTCAATGCCCTCAACAGCTACAAAAGCAGGTGAGACCCAGTGATGGGGATGCGATGGGATGCAGGATGCTCCCGTGTTCCCCCTGCCTGAGGGCTGCTTCCTCCCCTTCACTTCCCAGGTTTCTGTGTGGGAAGGAAATCAAAAAGAAGAAATGCATCTTCCGCCTGCGGATCCGCGTCCCACCAAACCCCCCCAGCAAGGTGCTGCCAGAGAAAGCCCCCGGTGCGGGAGAGAGCGGCTCCTGCGAGCTGAAGAAGAGGGGAAAAAGCAAATATGTCCATAAAGAGAGGTGAGAGACCGAAGTGACCCAGGCACCCCTTGCTTCTACACCTCTGGGGTGGGCTCACCCCCCTCACCTCTGCTTGCTCTGCAGCCTGCTGCCACGGCAGCTCCAGCAGCAGAAGCGGCGAGCAGCACGGCGCAAGAGGGCCAAGTTTTTGCTGGAGGATGCCATTCCCAGTGTGAGTCCATTGCCCCCTCCTCTGCACAACCACCCCGGGCTTAGCAGCCGAGTGGGACCCCCGTTCCCATCCCTGGGGCTCCCCACAAGGTTCCCCCACTCCTGCGGGCAGGGAGAGCCCCTGTCCCTCGCCCTGGGGTTTGCAAACGTTCTGTGCCAAGCCCGCTTCCCAGGGGAAGGAGCGCGGTGGCTCCCGGGCAGAGGGGGACGATGCCGGGCCCGCGGGCAGCACCGCTCCGCTCGGCAGCGACGCCTGAGCTTGTTTTCGCGGCGCAGAGTGACTTCACCTCGGCCTGGAGCACCAACCACCACCTGGCCAGCATCTTCGACTTCACACTGGATGAAATCCAGAGCCTGAAAAGGTCCGTGCGGCCGGGGCAGGGCTGTGGGTGGCCAGGGGTGGTTAAACACCCAAGTGTGCAGGCAGGGCTGGGGATGGAATGGGCCGCAGTGACCTTTGCACCAGGCTGGGGCTGATGCTGCATCTTGTCTCCAGTGCCAGCTCGGGACAGACTTTCCTATCGGATGTGGACTCCACGGATGCTGCCAGCACCTCGGGCTCAGCCACCACAAGCCTCTCCTATGAGTCCAGGTGAGGGCTCTGCCCCTTGGCCCTTCCAGTGGCATGGCTGGGGAGGTAAGGGGCTGCCCCTTTCCCAGCACAGCACCCTCATGTCCTGGTATGGGGATGTCCCACATCAGGGAGCCTTCCCTCTCTGGTCCCAAAGCCTTGCTGGGTGTGCAGGGTCAGAGCTGTTGGTCCTTCCTGGGCTCACCCCAGTTCCCAGCCTGATCCCCCCACGGTCACAGTGGGCACAGCAAGCATGGTGCAGGGGGGACCTTTTGGGTGCTGCCCTCACCTCCCCTCTGTCCCCTCCCGCAGCCGAAGGACCATGGGCAGCCGCAAGCGCAAGTTGTCCTCACCAGCGTACGCCTCGGCGGGGGCCAAGAGGAGAAGCGGGGAGATGGGGGGGCGCCCGGCCACGGGCACCCCCGAGGGCAGCGAGGCAGCCTGCGGCCCCGACCGCACCGATGACGGCATCGACAGCCACACCTTCGAGAGCATCAGCGAGGACGACTCCTCCCTCTCCCACCTCAAGTCCTCCATCAGCAGCTACTTCGGGGCAGCAGGCAGGCTGGTGTGCGGGGAGAAGTACCAGGTGCTGGCGCGAAGGGTGACACTGGAGGGCAAGGTGCAGTACCTGGTGGAGTGGGAAGGCACGACCCCGTACTGAGCCCCGCCAGCCCCAGAACCTCTCCCAGAGCCAAACCAGAGGAGATGGGGATGATGGGAACCCCTCGCTATGAATCAGAGGAGCTCGTCTGCGGCAGGGCTGGGAGCTCTCCGTGCTGGCGGTCCTGGCTGGGGCCGGATCCTGGGGAACCACCATGGATGGAGGCAGCACTGGAACCAGTGCCTTCAGTGGTGCTGCCCTTGGTGAAACCCGCAGCCTTGCTGTTTTAATACCTGTTACTTCAATGGCCATGTATATGCAAAGAGCATGGCCCAGCTCCGCTTTCCTGATGGAGCCTTTGTCCGAGCCCAAGGCACCACCACGGTGGTGGTAAGAGCAGTGAGTGGGTCTGCCCTTTCCAGAAGGGTCCCCCAGCATAGCTGGGTGCCCCTGGGGAAGCCTCTTTGGGGGGTACCCCACAACCTGCTCACACAGAGGGATGTCACGTCCAAGCCTTACAGTGCAGACTTGAGGGGGTCCTGCTGCTAAAGCAGAAAGCACCTCCCTCACCTGGGCTTTCACTGCCCGTCCCTGTGCCTATAGGAGACTGTGGGTGACTCTCACCAGAGTGTGTGGGGTTTTCCTCCTCCTCATAAATTCATTCATTTAAGGAATGTGGTTTGTTTTAAATGAGGGGGAAATGCCCTGTCAACAGCCCTCGTGTAGCCAGCTTTCCTGGCTGCGGGGCAGATGTACGTGGTTGCTCTGGTCTCCTGACCTGGACTGTGCGTGGTGATGCACCAGCTTCGTTTCCCTGTTCTTCTGACAATCATGGTCTTGGAAAAGATCAGCCAAAACATACACCCTTGCCTTAAAACCACCACGGGCATTGGACAGACTGGAGCCTGAGGCCTTTGTTCCCATGGGAATTCTTGTCCTGAATGTGCCAAACAAGCAGACAAACCAAAAAGGCTGAAGAGGACAGCAGGGGCATGGGGAGGGGTTGTACCAGGTCCTCACCATCATCCTGGTGGCCTTGTGGCTGTGCCTTGCTGTGCTTTCTGCTGCCAGTGTGGTGTGGATGTTTGTGAGCATGTGAGGTTGATTTGTCTGAGGAAGGGGAGGAGCAGCCCCTTCTCGAACTAAAGCAATAGAGCCAGGGTGTTCAGGAGCAAAGCAGTTGTCTTTTTTAAAGGAATTCTAATAGCATCAGATGTATTTGTTAGATTTCTTTTGTTCTAAGAGGTTTTTACCGTTGTCCTCCTCGTCTCTCCCCTATCACCACTGGGGCTGTCCCATGGGGCTGGAAGGTGTCATCTTTTTGGGAGATGGGACCCCCCCATCCCTACAGGAGAGGTACAGCTCCTGCAGCCAGCCTGGTCACTCCCCGTCCTGCCTTGGCTTCATCACCAAAGGGTCATTTAAAGTATTCCCCTTTCATGAGTGCCTCTGAAGCCCTTGTTATTGTCCAGGGGCTGCCAAGAGCTGTGCCAGAGCCATGGAGAGGGATTATTCCCATGGGATGGCAAATGGACATTGCATGGGTGGGAGCACCCAACATGTGGCCTTGGTTCCTCACCTCTCCCTCTGTTCCCTCTCTTCTCTTGCTGGCCTCTTGCAGAGAATTGAATGTGGAGCCTTAAAAACTGTCCCTGTTGCAGAGTATATTTTGTATTAGCTGTAATAGATAATTATACTGACTCTGTGCACCTTCTAAAGATTTATGAGTTCAGGTTGCTGCTTGTAATAACCAGCCCTTGTTATACCCAAGTTGTAATTAATATGTCTGATGTACAATTAAAAAGTCGAGGGTTTTTCTAACATCACTGGTTCTTTGGAGTGTCAGGATTATTGAGTTTGGGCGCTGGGGGTCAGTGTGTGCTCCCAGGCAGGCGTCCATTGCTGAGCCATGCTCTGTGCCAGGGTGAGATGTGCCCTCAGCTGGAGAGATGCTGCTGTGAAGAGCAAGAACAGCAGGAGGATGCAAAGGGGAGACTGGGGCAGTTTCTCTGGCTTTAGCACTGCTGTTTCCTGCTCTCAGAGCTCAGACCATTTTCCTTCTTGTCTCTTCTTCCCTGCACCTCCTTTGAGACCTGATGGGGCCACACAAGCCCACCTGAATGCCTGCAAAATGCCCTGTACTACTTCATTATGAGCCCAAAACGGGCAGATGGGAGCCAGTGGAGCATCAGTCAACATCAGGCCAAAGAGAGTCAATGCAAACCCACGATGAGCCCTTCCTCTTGCCCAGCTCACTGTACCAGCAAACTGCATCAACACTGAGCCTGCCCAGGTAAGAAAAACTGCTGTTTATTCCCTTCCCAGTCACACAAACAACTTGATCCTGTTCCATAAGTTATATCCCATTAAACTATTAATGTGAGCATCTTTTTGCAAGGTTAAACATGGCCTGGGTAGAAAGCCACTGTTGAGGCATGGGTAGGGGATGCAGGGCTGGTGATGTCCCGGTCCTGCTCACTTGCTGTCCCTGAACTGGCCATGGATGTTGCTCATCTCATCCTAGCTCAGCCCAGCTCGGCGGGTGGGGTCAGTGTGTGTGCTGCTTGCAGCTCCTGGTAAATCCTTGTGGCATCTGCTTAGGTCTGCTGTTCCCTTGGATTCTGTAGGACTCGAACCAGCACATTGCATGGCAGCAGCACAGGGTGTGAGCCAGCGCATTGCGGGGTGCCCGGCCACATTCTGCTGCCTCTGGGCTGCTCGGTGCATCCTGGAGCACAGGGTCAGGCCAAGGAGGGGAGGTTTTGAGTGCAAATGATATTCCCAATCCCGAGTTTCTGTGTTATTAGCAAACCCGTGAAGATACAAACTGCTTCCTAGTGTCAGCCCGCACAGGGAGACCAGCGGGGCTCAGCACGTTTTACCTGGTGTTCTGTACTTCTCAGTTAGTCCTGTGGGACACTCTCCTCCAGCCATCTGAGGTAGAGAGGGTTTCCTTGGTCAATAGGCAGGCTGATGGTTTCGGGAATTTCAAAGGGATGGATGGATCTAAAGTGGAAACAGACGCAGAGGCACAGTGTCACCAGCAGCCCCGCTCGCAGGCGCAGGAAGCAGAGGTCTCCGCTCCCAGCCCTGCGCTGGCTTCAAAGCACCCGCATCTTCTTTCTGCCATGTGAGAATGTTGCTTTGAGCTTGGGGTTTACCGCAGGCAGCAGCTGACTGCCAGGGGCCCAGGCCCAAAGCTGGCTCTGCTCACCACCCATGCTTGGGAAACACAGGAAATCCTGCCGGGAGGCAGCCAGGGAATGACCTGTGTTTGGAGGAGCATCCCTCCCTATACCCAGTACAGAGGGACGGGTTGAAGCCCAAGAGCTGGTATTTGTGCCACCCTTTTCTGCTGGTGCCATCTTTGGGTTTTTCTAGCTCACAAGGTCCATCAAGACCATTTCACCTCTCCCTTACTGGGTGGGAAGGGGCTTGAGGGACCTGACTCCCAAAGTCTAAGCAGGAGATGGCAGCCTACCTTGGACTGGAAACCCAGTGCTCCCACAGAGCCAGAGCCTCACCTGACGTAGTTGGATAGTTCACCTATTTTCGATGTCCTCGTTTTCACCAACTGTGGAGAGTAAAAAAACCTAAACTGAAACAAACCCCGATGGGGATGGAGCAATCCTGCCTGCACAGTCCCACTGCACCCAGTCAGCACTGCCATGCCCTCAGGCAGGTGCTCAGGGTCCATGGGTACTGTCCTGAACCTTGGGCTGGGCTGGGGATTTTGTGATGTGGGAACTGTCACTTACCAGCAGTATTTCAGTGGATTCCTCCAGTTCCCCTTCCCAGAAATACCTGGATTTAAAAGAAAAGAAGCATCAGCAAATGCAGTTCTGGCTGCAGCCCTGCTGACACCCCAGGGAGGAGGTTCCCTTCCCTGCCTGCTGCTTTCTGCACGTGGCCGTTCCTTTACAAAGTGGTGCTCAAGAAGCATCACTGGCCCAAAACGCTGCAGTGCATGTGACTGAGCACCCTGGATTCACAGACTAGAGCCTTCCTGGCTGTGCCAGCCTAGAGAGAGCTGCCCCAGGGGACTGCAGGGCACAGGAGCTGGGACTGGGGTGGCCATGGCGGGGCTGTGCAGTGGTGGCCCTGCTCCAAGCTTGGGAACAGTGCCCACAGAGGCTGCAGCACGGCTGTGGCTGAGAAGCTGAGTACAGCAGCATCTTGGTTTTCTCCTCTCTTTCCCTGCAGGAGAGGAGACGCACTCCTCCTGAGTCAGAACTGACCTCTCAGAACATTCATGTTGACAAAAGGGATTTCATCTGTGTGCTGGGTTCTGTGCGAGGAGGCAGTCGGAGGCGTCGCGGTGTCTCTTGAGCAGGAGGAACCATCTGAAGCAGGCAAGGCTGCGCAGGAGCAACTCGGCTCCTGCTGTTGTGGCACAAGGGGAGGGATGATTTCACTGGGTTTGCCCCATTTCAGCAGCCTCAGCTGGGCTATGGGGGAGTCTGGGGGGTTCAGGGGTAGGCCAGGGTGCTTCAAAGAGCACCCTGTTTTAGGGCTTTGTTCTTTAACTCCTTTAACAAGTGCAATCCCTTTGCATGGATGGCTTAGGATACCTGCAGAACATGGCTGGTTGTATTTCAAGGTCAAAGATGCTGGTTTTCCTTCCTGGAAGTCCTGTTTAATTCTGTAAAGGCCAATTTTCTGCTCCCTGTCTTAGCTGCTCTTTAGATCCTCTAAAAATAGGTGCCACATCCTCAGGCCCATAAATCACCTTCCTCTTTGCTAGATCTCTATGTAGCCAAGTAACCAATAAATAAGTGGTCCCCATGGGCAGCTGGAGCATCTGCACTCCTGCATAAGCTGAGAGCACTTTGCATGGGTGAGGATCATCTTTACCATCTGCAACAGCCAACAGAGCCAGCAGCCTTCTGGAAACTGCTCGGAGTGTCCATCTCCTCCCCCTGGGGAGCCTGGGTTTGCCTCCTCCATTGGGGAATATTGAGCCCAACTTACAAGGCTGAGCTCTTGGGCAGGATGTTCACGTAGGCAGCCAGCTTCTTATCCATGATGGCCCTGGGTGAGACAGGAGGAGGAGTTAGTGCCCATCCCAGCTTGGTGTGGCTCAGCACCCACTCCCAGGCACAGGGATGTCCCCTTGTGCTGCCCCTGACTGCCAGCAGCAGCTCTGATGCTGGAGACCTGGGATCTGGGGTTAATCATTACCCTGAGGAAGTACAGGCAGAGATGCCCTATAGCCCTATAGCCCTATAGTCAGCTCAGGTCCTCGTGGCATGGCGTGGCTCCGTGTGTGCTGCTCCTGGCCTGGAGCAGCACACAGGACCTGTGCCTCATACACTGCAAGGACCCTGCCTGGCATCAGCCCAGTGCACATCTCCCCATGGGGACACCAGGGCATGGCCACAAGAACTGGGTCTGGGATGGATAAGAAGGGGTTTGTCTCCAGGAAATGTATTTATGCTATCAAACTGTGCCCCTTCCTCTTGTAACAGATTAAATGTGGAGCTTGTTAAACTAACAACATCAAGGGTTCTCTACCCAAAATGTCCTAGAAATCTGAAGCCCAAATTAAATTCCTTCCCTGTGGCTGCTTCTTTTAGCTGTGGGCTGATGTGTTACTGCAGAGCAGCTTGGGTCTACCAGCAGAAGTGACACTTGAGTGATGAAAGAGCCCTGAGGCAATCTCAGGGTGGATTTTGAGAAGAGCTAGGTCAGATGTTGTGTTTTCTGACCACAGCAGTGTCTGCGCCCTTCTCACAGCAATGGCAGCCCCGTCCCTCGTGCAAGCAGCTCTGGTAGAGCATGACACTAGTGCCTTCTCCTTTGGTTTTCCTTAACACTGGCCTCACCGGGCACCACTCTGCACCAAGTGCTATGACAGTGTCAACATTTAACTTCTGGTTGACTTTGAAGTGCAGAGGAGACTGGAGTGATGAGGTATGGGAAGGCTTGGTTCAACAACCTGCAAAACTTAACTCTTGAAGAGGAGCAGAAGGAGCCTCCCCACTGGACCTCACCTTGCAGTCAGCCCTTGCCCCACAGGGGACGCTGGGCTCTCGTCTGAATGTGCATCAGCTCCTTTGCATATGTCTGCATTACCAGCCCTGCTTTCCCCGTACAGGTTTGCACCTTGCAACTATGAGCACAAGGCAGAAGTGCCCTTATGGGGCTGCTCAGGCTCTGCTGCAGGTCAGGGAGGACTTGGGAGCTGCCAGGGCACTGGGAGGAAAGCAGCCCTTCCCGATGATCCTATAACATCTTGCCACCCCAGCACTGCACTGGAGAACCAGTGCCTGCACCCAGCCAACTGGAGGAATTGGGTTTAATGTCTAAGCACAGCAAGGTGATGGAGATGGGCTTCTCCCTGCCCATGGCTTGGAGAGGACAGCCATCGAGGAGGCTCTGGCTTCTTTGCTCTCACCATGTGCAGCCAGGGGTAGGCATTTAATGCTTGTAGAGCATCTTGAGTTAATCTGTAGACCAACAAACTGCAGCAGCAGGAGCGGAGGTATCCCCCGCTGTGTTTGTCATGTCGAACACATGGCACAGATCCTTTTGTTTCTGCTGCCTGCATCCCCCAAGTCACTTTAGTGCAGGGACCTTTTGATTTGAGTGGGTAGCTTCTAACTGCTGCTCTGTTCCAATACGCTGTGATCCCGACTGAGATCCTGAACTTTGTTCTAGCAAACCCAGAGGAAACAAGCGGCCGCCATGGGAAGGAGAAACATCATAAAAAGCTGAATGTGATCAGTGGAAAAGGTCTGCATAATACATGATATCTTTGGGCTGGGCACTTGATGTGTGTCCCTGCCTCACAGCAGGCGCTGAACTGAGACACATGAAATATTAATAAGCAGAGAAGCAAGGAAAATGATCTGCACAAGTCTAAGGCAGGACCCGAGGCTGCTTGGCTCTTATGTGAGGTGCAGTGGCCACATTATCCAGCCCCAAGGGGTCAGCTTCTCACAGCAGGCACAGGGGAGAGGGCAGATCTGTGTGGACTCGGGGGGTTTCTTCTGAGCCTTTAAAGTTAACAGCAATCCAGGTAAACTGGGTCAGAATGGACACAATGAACAAGCTGGATACTGAATTGTACCTGCAGTTAATCCGCTTTCCCAGCCATTGAGCCCTTTTTCCTTAAAACCAGTGGAAATTTCCTTGCAGACTGATCTATCAGAGTGAGTGCTCCTCTGAGCAATGTAAAGGAAGAATAAGCAACAGCACAGGAAAAAGGTGTGCAGGAAAATGAGTGTAGAAGCTCCATGCCATCCTCTACTACCATGCCTCATTCACCCAAATCCCAGAACAAAGGAATAATTACTCCACCAGTAAAAACACAACCTAAATATACATAACTCAGCAATGGGGAGGGATTTCTTTCCCCTTCCTTCCCTGGAAGATAAGGAACAAGGTGTGCAAAACATTTGCAAAGGTGTTGGGATGAAGCATTTTGGGGAACTGAGGCTCATTCACCAGCCACGTACAGTTACTCCTTTAGCAGAAGACACCGAGCAGTGCAGACATTATCCTAGTTGGATTTCCTCCTACAGTTGCAGTATTTAAGGTGACACAAAATCCCTTTCAGAAGCCTGTCAGTTCCTGAATGACTTTTTGGGAATGCTTTACAGAAGACAGAGAGGTTTTGGCAAGCAGCAAGGGAGCAGGGAAAACAGCACAGGAGGTGTTGCAGGAAACTTCATGGTCCATCATAAACATTGCCCCAGTCAACACAGTCACAGTGCTTTGAACAAAGCATCCATTGAGGCAGGGACTGACAGATGTGTGAAAAACAACCTGCATGCAAACCAGCATGCAAAGTATCTCATATGTTAAAAGAGAGGGGGGAAAATCAAGGCAAACCCCTTATTCCCTGAAGTTTGGTCAGCAGAGTGCAGGCTTCAGGTGGTGCCTGATGTGCCTGTTCTCTTTGCTGTGGACCACTTCTGTCTCATTCTCATGGCAGTGTGCTGTGCTTTACCCCTCTCCATAAACACCTCTCCTGCAATTTGTTATCTGTATTGCTCTAGAGAAGAAGAAAGACTCTGTTAGATCAGAGAACATGGAACTGGGGCTTAATCCATCTGAGGACCTGAAGATTTAGAGCCATGGCTTTAAAATGAGAGGCAGTGGAATAAACTGAGAATTGGCTTGGTGTTAACTGCAGCACTGACTTCAGAGACAATTGCCAGCTTTCTCTTAGAAAGTGCAGCTCTTGGTGAGTGGGTGCATGGTGCAGAGAGACAAGGAGAGTGCAGGAGAGAAGGAACACCATTTGGGTAGCAGTACAAAGCGCAGGGAAGTACAGATGCTCTCGAGAGACACGGAAAAGCTTGATTGCACAAGAATAAAGCTTGCTTTTCCACTTCAAACAATTCCAGCAGCCATCAGGGAAAGTGTCTCTGTACCTTGCAATATCCTTGGCAATCTGCTCGTTGAGGCAGTTGATGAAGGCAATGGAGTGAGTCCCAGAGATGTAGCTGCCAGTGATGGCAGAGTGCAGCTGAAGAGTGAGACTCCTCAGCACCGGGTACATCAGCAACGACAGAGTCACCGCCTAAAATGCAAGACGTGTGAGTGATGATGCCAGGGGAAAATACTGCCTTTGGTAAAAGCAGACACTTACTGTGGCTCAAGGGAAGTCTGTCTTCTTTCAACATCACAGGAATGCTACTCGTAACCTCAGTGAAAACATCCTCATAGGGAGATCCATTCTCCTTCCATGGGGCAGGAAAGGGTCAGGCTTTGAGGCTGCATCAGCCCAGAAGTGCCCAGACCTCTGGGTTACAGACCCTACCACACAGTCTCTGCAGCCACGACTGGTTTTCCAAAGGAGAATAAGGAGGTAAGTCACTGGTTGTCTCTGTTAAAGCACACCTTTCCTGCTTTAGCTGCAGGGTGAGGCATGCCCACCCCTCTGGGAATCGGTGGGGATGGGAGCCTGCCTCCCCTCAGATGTGTAAAGGAGAACAGTAGGTCAAGGAGGGTTGGGATCTGCCCATAGAAAACAGAGGTGGGCTGGAGCCTGGTGTGGGAGCAGAGCCCTGGGTAAGACAGTCTGTGCAGGGACAAGTACTCTCTCCTGCTGGTGGATGTTGTACAGCCCACCCAGGCTATGAGAGAGACTCTCACTAGCAGGCAAGGGAGAGAAGACTCAAGCATGGGTTTTAAGTTCATTTCTTCCTAATTCTCTCCTACTAATAGGACAGTGAAATTGCATCCTTTGGGGCACAAAAACCCTAATGGACACAGCCCAGGTCTCTGTCCGCTGGGCTGCAGAAACCAGTAACACCCTCTCCATAGGCTGGCAGCACTGTGGCAACAGGTTGGTTTTGTGTCCATTATTGCTGCCAAGCCCCTTCGCTGCTCTTTGTACCCACATGCCATAAACAGCCACATGAGAACACAGAGTCAGCTCAGCAGGGCGCTGCAGGAGCAGCAATGGCAAGGTTAATGTGGTGTGCTGAGTAATGGCTGCAGGATGGTGCCGTACCCGGGGCTGCAGCACTCGCCTCTCCGCACAGCTGCTCTCTCTTTGTCTTTTGTCTCGTTTGGGGATAAACAGCATCTGGCCCTTATTCAGCCACAGCGATGAAAAAGGTGCTTATAACACTAAGAATATATTCCTTATTTCCTCCCTCCTTTGTCCTCTGAAAATTCCATGGGCCCATGTCATAGACTGGGTTCTATTAAGATTGAATTAAGGAAACCTCTTGTCACCACAAGAGCTCGTTCCCGTTAGGAACATGAAGGATGAGCTGTATTGGTTGTCTCCTCTTCTCCAACCCATTTGAGGAAATATTCTTTGTTATCACAAGGGTTCTCATAAGAATTTTTAGAGCTTCTTTTGTGCTTTTTTCCCCCACTAAGCCATTTAGCAAATATGAGGCAACAAATCCCAGGAGCTACTCAAGAGAGTTAAAGCAAACAGAAATATGCTGGGCTGTGTATTTTTCCAGATTAGAATGTAATCATGCTCCCTGCTTAGCAAAGAAAACATAATCTGACCCGTTCAGCACGGCAATCATTAATCTCCTTGGAAAATGGAAGTGCATGGCATGAGGAAATCCCCATGACCATTTGCATTGAAGAGTGACCACTGTCTTGTGGGGCTTTTGGGGTGGTTTTCCCCCTTTTTTTTTCTGTGGAGAAAGATAAAAGCTGCTTTTTTCTCCCCAGATGATTGTATTTGCCAAAGGATGGTGCAAAAGTGGAGTGAAGCAACCTGATAACCCCAGCAAACCCACTGCCAAAATGTTGACCAACACTGAGAACCCTGCTGTCAGATGTAAGCACTCCATCGAACAGCACCGAGCAGCAGAATTCCAGCTGAGTTTGGAGAGACTGAAACTTCTGCAGGATTTCTTTTGGCTTCGCTGCACTAAAACCAGCTTCAGGGTTTAAAATCACCGCGCTGGGGCTTTTTGCCTGGTTTTTGCTGAGGTTCTGTCAAAAAGAACACAAACCCCAAACGCAACCTGTGGCAATCCCGGGTGTGCTGTGAGGTTCCTGGAGCAAGCGGGAATTACTCCTCGGGAACTCCCCGTGCTCCCTGCAGAGACCGAGTACGTTCCGCCTGCACCATCCTTTCCCTATGAGGTTCCCGTGCCCTCGGTCACCGCGCTCCCATCGCATCCCCCGCTCCCCCCCGATGGAGGGACCCCCCCTTACCAGCAGCAGGGCGGCGCGGCCCGCGCGGGGGCAGCCCTGGGCAGCGGGCAGCAGCGGGCAGCGCTGGCTCAGCCCCTCCATGTCCGCGGCTCCCATCGCTCCACCTGCGCTGCCCCGAGCTGGGAGCGCTGCCCGCAGCCAGCGCTGGCTCCTCCTCCTCTTCCTCCCCTGCAGGCTGGCACCCGCCTGCCTGCCCCAGCGTGGGGCTGAGCCACGGCCCAGGCGCCAGCACGGGGTGCCCATGGCCCTCCTGCATCCCCATGGGCTCTTCCCTGCCAGCCCCAGCCCTGGCACCCAGGCTCCCCGCCTGCCCCTTGCTACTCCTCACCCGCAGAGCTGCGGTGCCCCAGAAATGGGGTCCAACCACAGCAGGGGTAAATGGACACGTTCCTGTGTAACCTTATCTAGGTGTTCCTGCTATGCAGGGGGATTGGACTAGATGAGCTTTTGAGGTCCCTTCCAATCTCCAGCATACTGTGATACTGTGACACCCGAACATGGGTGCTGTTACCACAGCTGCACCAGCATCTGCTGCAGGAATCCCTCAGCACTGGGGTCCTCCCAGTGCCATCTCATGTGCCCTTGTTGATGCCACTTTTGCTTCATTTTCCTACCTATAAACAAGTTATTTTCTCAGATTTAATACCGCTGGGGCTCTGTTCTCTTTGAATACAAACTGCAAAGAAGCTGCCAGTCGTTGTTGTGCTGTTTGGGCCCAGAACGCTCCCGTGCGCAGCCCAGCACAGAGGCTCCATTCTGTCACCCTGTGACTTCACTGCACTACCTCAGTTCTCACGAGCTATTAGGGAAGCCCAGGTATGGTACAGCCCTTGTGGGGCAGCAGCCTGCGCCTGGGCTCAGACAGGGCACTGAAGAAGCCTTGGGGAGGCATCAAAGACCCCTGAGCTTTGCAGTATGGTAACAGCCATGTATTTGCTACTCTCAATTGTCTCTCCTCTTGTCCATGGGCTGAAAGTGACGTTTTTCCTCTTCTGTTGTGAAGCAAACCCTATGTTTTCTTGCAGCGTGTCCCACCATGAAGAGGCTGAGCTGTCGCCACCACTGTGAGAGGGGGTCCCAGCATTGCAGCCCCTTCCCAGCCAGCGGTACCCACTGCACACCGTGACACCGCTCTGCCCCTCCATGCTGGCCGCGTGTGTGGGCCTGAGGGGTCCCATTCCCGCAGCCCCGCAGTGCCGCTGCCCAGGCTCGCTCCGGGCACACACCGGGACGGGTCCGGCCTCTCCCGTTCCGGCCATGCTCCCGTGACCCGCCATCACCGCCCCTCAGCCGTGGCCCCGCCCCTCCCACTCCTGCCCAATCAGCTTGCGAGGCGGGGCACGCCCGCCATTTTGTTTACGGCTGTGCGGACGCGAAAGAAGCCCTTAGCGACGGCGCGGCGGTTGCTAGGGGCGGGGCGGTCTCGCGAGGTTTGGAGGAGGCGCCAAGATGGCGGAGGCGGTGTGGGAGCTGCTGGAGCGGGCGGCACGGCGGGCGGCGCCGCTGGAGGAGCTGCGGGCCCTGCGCCTCGCCGTGCAGGCCGTGCCCCCCGCCGCCCTGCGCGCCCGCCTCAGCGCCGACCACCTCACAGCGCTCTTCGACCTGCTCGGCGTCAGTGACCGGTGAGCGCCGGACCGGCCCCGCGGGCCTGCCCCGGCCCCGCAGCTCCCTGTCCGCCCGGTGGCTCCCGCGGCTACCCCGTCTGCTTCCGGCGGCTCGGGAGCACCCGGCGGCGTCCCGCTCCTGAAAGGGTTCTTTTCTGTCTGTGCTGCCCAGGGAGCAGGTGGCTGCGTGTGTTTCCATCCTGGAGCGGCTCCTGCCGGCCCTGGACCCGGTCTATGTGATCCAGAACCTCAGGGAGGAGCTTCAGAAAGGGCTGTTCCACCCCGATGACTCCGTGAAAATCCTCTCCATAGCTCAGGTACAGGGGTTTCCTCCGGAAGGAGGGGACAGAGCTCCGGTTTGGGCCAGGCTGGGTTAGTCCTAATCTGTTACTGTTGTTCCATGGCTTCATTAGTGGCAAAAGCACTACAGCCGGTGGTATATGCAGGAGTTGCACACTTCCACAGTCATGGAGCTTTGGGTAAATGCTGTGCAATGTGTTGGTATATAACGCTTTATGGTGTATCTGTGCAATGTGACATCTAAAACTATGTCTTGACAGCAGTAATTTGTAAATGAATCCTGTGTCACATGTGCTGGATAAAGCTTTCTAAGCCAGCACTGGCAGCAGGTGCTGTAAGAATTAAGTGCAGCAGCATTTTGATAGTCAGGATGCTTTGAACGGTCCTGTGGAAGCACTGGAGAATGGGATGTACTAACTTGACACTTGTTGCATTAACTTAAAAGACCAGAATCATGGAACATTGTGGTTTAGAATGAGCTTCAAGAGGTTTCACATTCAGCCCCTCTGAAAGCAGGGCCAGCTTGCAGCAGGCTGCCCAGGGTGTTTGTCCAGTGGAGTTCAGAGGGGCTTCTAACATGATTCTGTCTGTCGGTAGCTGTTTCAGTGCTTGAATGGCCTTACAGGAGAAAAAGCTGGTTTAATGTGTTTAGTTTTCCTTTTTTCCTGTATTTAATCACGTTTAGGTCGGGAGGATTGTTGAAAATTCAGATGCTGTTACAGAAATTCTCAACAGTCCTGAACTGTTAAGGCAAATAATAAACTGCATTGGTGGGGAGAGAATAGCAGTGGCTAAAGAGGTAAGTGCTGCTTTCTTGGTTTATTTATTCGTCTACAACCTGATGTAGATATCACATGAAACACCTTTTCTACTGTGTCCGAGATCATGACCTCTGCTATCCTTTGAAGAAAGGACAGCTTATGTTGCCTTAAAGATTATATGAACAGGCAGGTGCTTTAAGCCCAGACATGACTTAGGTGTGGTAGAACATTTACACAGAACTGTTATCTCTTGGTAGCTGTTTATGCCAATGTGAACTCGGAGCTGATTTTGATGCCAGAGACTCGGATCACAGTAACCATAACCGGCTCCCCTTAATGGAAAGTCAATCACAATTCAAATTTTAGGTGTAGAACTTGCTTTAATCAGTTAATTAAGAACACTGAAACTAAGTCTGATTGTCTTGTGGCTTTGCTTTTAATACTAAGCTCCTGTTTTTGCTTCCAGGCCATCAAATCCCTCTCCAGAATAGCACAGACGCAAGATGGTTTAGAGGCTTTGTTTGTGAGCAGTTTGTTGAGTGACTTGAAAAATGTCATGGCAACAAGCGATGTTGTTCGATACCGAGTGTATGAGGTAGGGATGTGATCAAGGTCAGCATTTGACTGATGTGATACCATGGTCCTCTTGCTCTGTAGCTCTGCATTGCTGTCTGTATTTTATGGCTTTTATGTTAGTATGCATCACTGGTTTACAAACTTCCCTTCGTGTCTGCATTTTGTCAAGACAAGAAAGGAGTAGGAAGAGTTCAGCAGTGTTGGCCCTCATATAATGACATAGCTCTGTTTACTTCACGCTTCTGTAGCATACTGTTTCCATCTTCTGCTCTCCAACTAGTGTTGCCCAGGGCATTGGAGCCCCACACAGAGTTAATAAAGACACAGCAAAACGTTTGCTTCTGTGAAAGCAAAGTAGCTGCTATAGTCTCTTAAGCTTTGGGTATGAAGCTTTGAAACTTCTGGAGGGAGAAAGAGGCTGAGAAGAGAGATGCCAAATGCATCAGTCTAAATATGTATTGCAAAGGAGAAGTAATAAGAGTTTAGCCAGCTTAATGAGGATAACATCTGAATAAGAGATAACTTTGAGCAGAAATCAAATGTATGTGCTGTAAATTTGGAGCTCCTTATGAACTTGTTTCAGGCAAACATCTAACTATGAAAACAGCATGAAATTGTGTATTTAATACATATAGTCAGCATTATAAGACTTGTCTGGCTGTTACTGTGAATTGTTATCTCTATAATGTTTTTAGAATCCATTGCTTTTTTTGTTTCCCTCTGCTCTCAGTTAATTGTTGAGATCTCTTCAGTGTCAGCAGAGTCCCTAAATTACTGTGCAAACAGTGGATTAATATCGGAGTTAATTGGAGAGCTGACTGGAGACGACATGCTGGTCAGGTATGTCGGAAGTGAGTTTGTCAGTGAGATTTCCCCCATTTTTGTTTGATTTTGCCTTAAGGGAAGAAAACCAGTTTGTTCTTGAAGAGGGCTTCAAAACGCCATCTGAAATAGGCCAAAATACTGTGTCTGTTACAGGGCTACATGCATCGAGATGGTGACCTCGCTGGCCCATACCCCACACGGGCGTCAGTATCTTGCTCAGCAAGGAGTTATTGATAAAATTTCCAACATCATCGTTGGAGCAGAGTCTGATCCTTTCTCAAGCTTCTATTTACCAGGTAACATCATTCATTTCTTGCTTCCAGTGTTTACTGCTTGCTTTTACTCAGGAGTTAAACTGAGAGGATTGTCAAGCTCATGTGAGCACTTGAACAGAAATACATATGTTGGATACATAGGAAAAATGCTGAAGAACATTCTGACACATGAATAATATTACTCATTAACAGTGGTAGTACAGGCAAGTCCTGAAGAGACTGTGCTAAAGCTTTGAAGTTTGTGTTATTGTAGCCTTTTTTTATCCATGATGTAGCAGCTGTCTTGAATTTATTGAGTAACTTCCAAAATCCTCTCCTGTTCCTTAGTTCTGTCCTTATTCTGATGCATTTCACAAGGATTCAGTTTCAATAGCACCACTTTAGCTGTGAAACAATGTATGTTTGATTTTGCTATTGCTAAAGTTACTGTGCCCTCGCTCTGAAAGCTTCTTTTTTCTCTTGTTCCATCAGGATTCGTTAAGTTTTTTGGGAATCTGGCTGTTGTAGACAGTCCACAGCAGATCTGTGAACGATACCCAGTCTTCATAGAGAAAGTCTTTGAAATGGCAGAAAGTCATGATCCGACCATGATTGGAGTGGCTGTGGACACACTAGGCATCCTGGGATCAAATGTGGAAGGCAAACAGGTTTTACAGAAAACCAGTTAGTATCTGAAAGTTGTCAGTATTTGTGTTGTTTTGGATACTTCTCTTTCTACTGGTGTCATCAGCCTCTTGCCAGGACTAGAAAAACATGAATGCTCACGTAATGATGCTTTCTGTAAAGGCTGTGTTGTTTCCTTTAATACAGAACTGTT